TTTTACCCCCAAGTAAGTCCTTGAAAGCCTGACCTTCCCGCAGTGGATGCATCTAGCCTTGCACTGGACTGCCAACTTTAACCCTTTCTTTCATCTTCAGTGGATGCTCCATTCCGGTAGCTCAGAGACGCCATCCATTGTGGGGACATCTCCCCCCCCCCCCCCCACTCTCCAGTCCTAGGAACATGATACTGATTTAGGCTAGAATTCATCACAGCTACTTAGTCAGTTCAGTTCAGCAAACATTTATTCTGTTGCAACTGTGGCCCTAGCTCTGTGCTGGATGCTGGAAGATTCCTACAGAGCCTGCATGCCTGGTAGAAATACTGCCATAAGGATGTCCTTCTACTGGAAAACTGTAACTTTAAAGCATTTGGAAAGTTGGAACTTTCTACTGTCCTGTGTTACTTAGAAACAGTGGTGCAATCGTGTCTGTAACATTACCATGACCATGGAAAGGAAGTGTATTATTGTATACAGAGGAAAAAGCTGAGGGAAATACCAAAAAAATCAAAATATTAACATACTTGCCTCTGAGTATTCAAAATGAATAAAGCTTTTTTTTTGTTCTTTATACTTTTATTCAGTGTTTCAAATATTTCCTGTGATTGGGAGGAGATGTGAAGGCAAAAATGTGTTTTTTAAACAGGTAAATGTCTGGAGGTGCCTGGGTGGCTCAGTCAGTTAAGCGTCTGACTCTTGATCTCAGCTCAGGTCATGATCTCTCAGTTCGTGGGTTTGAGCCCCTCATTGGGCTCTGTGCTGACAGCGCAGAGTCAGCTTGGGATTCTCTCCCTCTCTCTCTGCTCTTCCCTTGCTCACACCCTTGCTCTTTCACTCTCAAAAATAAATAAACGTGAAAATATATATATAGTTAAATGCCTGGGTAGCATCTCCATTCTGTTGAGAATCTGGAGGGAAAACCAAGTTTAAAGTCATAGTCCTTATTGCCTTAAGAGCTAAGCTAGAACCAAACACACAGCTCTTCCCTAACCCTTACTTTGTAGAGCTTCATGATCAAGAAGTTAAAACAGTTAACAGTAATAATAATAATAGCAAGCTATTTGTAGACAGTTGGGAGTGCCAGCCACTGGGTCTATGGTGGAACTATGTTTCTACCCAGCCTGGTGGGTTCCTCCAATGTAAACTGCTCCTTCTTCCCTGTTGAACGTAAGAACTTTGCTGAACCCATTTAGCAGGGCCTAAATTACTGGGCCTCGTTACTGCTGTTTCAGCGATAAGCTTCTTACTGCCTTAAAACTCCATCGTCATGGGGACGCCACCACCACAGATCATGAAACCTTTTTATCCAACCTTCTTCAATAATCTGCAGAAGCAGAGTGTTTTATATGGGGTGGGCCCTGGTGGGGCTCTGCTGTGAATTTATTATAAGCTACTCTCCAGAGCCACAGTGAAAAATTGTTCTGGACAAGGACAAAGAAAGTCTGTAAATGAAGCCACCATCCTGAAGCCAAGTTTCTGCCCTGACACCTGATCAACTTCAAAGAGAATTCTAAGGTTTTATTTTATTTTGTTCCTTCCTCCTACTTATGGTTGAATGGTCTAATCTTATGCCCTTTCTTTAAATGTCAAAGTTGATACCACAAAGGCATCCTAATTTGGGGTATCAGACAACATATAAAAAATGATGCATATTTTTGTGCTCTTTCAGCTTCATCCTTTGATCCCTGTAGAGTTTCTACCTTTTTATTCTATGCCCATTCCTCTCCCTGCCTCCCCTTCCCACTTCTCGTTAGTCCACAGCCCTCTTGGGTGGTCTGCTCAATTTAGACCAGATGCACGTTTCCATCAGTGGCTAAGTGAGAATCCCAAAGACACCATCACCAGCTGTGGGTCATCAGACAAGTTCCTTAACCTCTCAGAGATTGAGGTTTTCTTCATCAACAAAATGTGTTTAATCATGCATGTGAAAGCATCCAGTAGGTGCCCCATAAGTGCAACTTGTCTTCTTCCATTGTTGCTTCTGGCTTTCTCCCAAGTTTGAAGAACCCTTTCCAACAGAGAGGACTCTCCTCAAATCAGTTTTCCATAGTTCTACCATACATCAGACCAGGAGATGGGAAGTCTAGGGATGTTTATGCTTCCTACCAGAGCAAGGGAGTTCAGTGGCCTCACCCCTTCCTTAATCTTGGCGGCTGCTCAGCCTGCCCAGCAAAGTTGCAGGAGCCCTGACCTTCCTGGAAGAATCATGGCCATGGGCTCCTTTCAGAACCGCCGGGGTTGCATTGCCTGAGCAGCCCTCTGAAAATTTAAGAGTTTTGTTCCAAACGCTGAAGAATTTGAAATAAAAACCCAAGCAACTCAGCACCCTTGACTTGCTTTTGAAAGTGCAGGATTTACAATCCAAATCGGGGCACAGAGAGCTCAGATGCCCCAGGTTGCAGTTAGTGCCCGTAAACCAGGACTGCTATTTGCCCCAGCGGTTCTCAAACTATAGGGCATCTTAGTTACCTGGAAGGCACGTGAAACTGCTCCCAGAGGTTCTGATTCAGTAGGCCTGCGGTGGAGCCTGAGAATTTGCATTTCTAGTAGGCTCCCAGGTGGTGTTAATGCTGCTGATCCTGAAACCACACTTTCAGACCCTCTCAGTTAATTTAGCCCGTAATTGTTCCTGAACTGCCCAAACTGGAAGTGGGGGGGGGGGGGGGGATTTGAGCATCTTTCTAAGCCATTTTCTTCTATAACTCTTTCCTCTCCAAAGTTTCTGTTGTCAAGGGAGGAGTTTAATGAATATGATTTTCATTTGAGGAGGTGGGGACTGAAACCGAGAGGTCAGATGGCTTCCCTGGGCCTCAGAATGCCAGTTCACTACCTTGAGCCTCTGGGAGTCACAGCCAGATAGATGCCTCCATCGAGGCTGCGGTGGGCATCGGATTCATCCTATGCTGCTCTCTGACATAAAACTGCTGAACTCGCTTTGCCAGCAAATGTGATCTGCGTGAAACGTTAGCTTCCTCCTTTGAAAACACTTCCTTCTTCTGAAACTTCAAACTTAAAATAGTTATCTTTGCAGGAGAAAGCCTCTGGATACTGGTGATTGGTTGAACATACGAACCTCTTGTATAGAAACTAGGCAATATTCCGTCTGGGCTGGAGATTTATTTATTTCTTCATTTTAATACTTGATCCAGTTCAATGTGTGTGAAGAGCACAGATTTCTTTTCCGAGACATCCATTTTATTATTTTTACTTTTTCCTGCGTGAACAACCCTCCTCTCTCCTCGCTTGCCTTCCGCACCCGCCCATTTACTTCCTGGCCCCGAGCACGCGCGGTGTGCCCGGGCCCGGGAAGTGCGCCCCCTGAGCGCTCACGGGCTCGAAGGCAGCGCGCTCCGGCCCAGGACCCCCGCGGCCCCGGGGCAACGGCCCGCGCCCGGGACCGCCTCGTCGGTTTCTTTGTTAGAGACGCCGGCGCTGAGAGGCATCTTCGGGCCTGCCGCCCCACTGCTGACTTCTTAGAGCCCCCTAAGGACTTGTAAGCATATAGGCTCGAGTCAAGAGGCTAAATTACGCCCCAGGGGACTTTTTAAGTAAAATCCTAAATTTCATTTAGGCTGTTCGTAGGCCGTGTGATTGCAGCCTGAGCCGAGGCCGCCCTCAGCGCCGCCTTCCCGCGCCGGCTTTGTGCAGCCCGGGCTGCGGGGAACTCTGCCCCTCTCGGACGGTCAGCCCCGGGAGCTGGTGCAAGCTACTCGCCCTCCCCTCTCCGGGTGCCACCGCCCCCCGCCCCACCATCTCCTCCCGCTCCCAGCCCTTCCGTTTCCTCCCCCCCACCCCCACCCCGACTTGAAATCTCCCTCCCCTCGGGCTGGAAGGAAAGTCGGTAATAAGAAACCAGTTCGGTGTCAGTCGGAGAGAGGGTTGGGGGGGAGATCACCCCAGAGATACACGGCAATGGAGAGAGAACTCATTTTGTGTAAAGAGGGCCTCGAGTCACCAGGGAATTCCTGGATTGTCTCAGGCTGTCGTGTGTGATGTCCATCACGCCGTGCGAACACCATCTGCTCGGTATTATGCTCTCAGTTGCCAGGCTACCTGCTGTACGCAGTAACACTTGACTGCCTGGCTCCACGTTCGCAGCGTCCGCCCAGACGCGCGGGGCGGGGGGCGGGGGGCGGGGGGAGGGGGAGAGGAACAGGAGTCATGATTAAGCCATCTGCGGGGGGGGGGGGGGGGGGGGGGGGGGGGGGGGGGGGAGGGCGCTGCGCGGGCGGAGCCGGCGCCGCAAAGCCGGAGCGCCGGGCTGACACCACCATCTGCTGGGGCAGGGGTGGAACAGCAGCTGCTCCTCGTTCCGCCGCCGCCGCCGGGAAAAGGCTGAAAGCACGGGCGTCCTCCAGCCCGCACCCCGGGGCCTCCTCTCCACCGGCGGCAGCCTTTTGTGAGCCCCCTCCCCAGAGCCGGCGCTCCTGGTTCGCCGCCAGGAACCCCGGCCCCTCTCACCCAAACACTACGCTTGTTCTAGAAAACACTTAAGAGAAAGCTTCGCTACGCACAGATTTATAAATAAACAGCTGGCTGCTCTTGGGAGATATTTTTACCGCAGCTGTTTTTTGAAGCAGAAAACTGCTTCTTTGGAGGAGGTAGGATGTTCTTTACACCTCCTACCTCTCCAGCCCTTAGAAAATTCCTAAGATCTTTTCCCTGAGGAAGGAGCCATGTAAAATGGGTTCACTGGTTTTGACTCCCCGCCTCCTTCTTTTTATTTTGTTGAAAAGTGAGAAGATTTGGGGAGTAATGAAGATCTCTGTAGCCAATTGGATTTCCGAGGGGAAGCTAGTGAGTTAACATTCTTGGTTTAAGGCAAGGGAGGTCGCTGGGCAGGGGGTGGGGTGGAGAAGGAGCCAGTAATTAAAACTAAAAATACTGCATCATTTGGCTTCAAGGCATTACATTTCTCTGACGAAAGCTCAGCCTGGTTTTCTCTAATTGCACACGCAGTGTGTGTCCTCCTTAGAAACAAGAGCAGTGGCTTGAAATCCTGAAATTCGACAGGCGATTGCTCATTAAGCTCTCTTAGACTGGAGGTTAAAAGCTGCCATGTAATATGAAACAGTTAATGGCCTCAGCCAGCTCCATTTGTAAGGCAAGTCACTAGGAGCTCTTCACACTTCGGAATACACACTTGAGGTGGGGGCTGTCCGTGTCCCCCGCTGCTGAATGCAGGAGAGCTTGTTGGGGACGTACTCAGGGTGTATCAGCCTACATTCACGGATGTTTCCGATGGAAGGCAAGCCCTTAAAAATGCACAGAGCCCTCCTGTCCCTAGGCCTTCAGATCTTCAGCAAGAAACCTGAAGGCAAAACCAATGGGAGGAAGTCATTCGGAGAAATACATAATCCTGGGAGGTGATAACCTATCTCTTTGGGAAAGTTTTTTTCCCCACACTGTGCCTCTGAAGTATTTCTTTTTGCCCCAGGAAGACGGCCCAAAAGTAGTTGGATGTATCAACACAGTCACTTCATTTGCCTCTCTCTGTATTTCCAAGGTGGAGAAAAGGCTGGGAAAGCAACGCGTCACTACTTACCACTTCTGGGCATGCGCCCCAGCTAGGCAGGGCTGGTCACACAGGACAAGAATGTCTCCAAGTGCCCAAAGATAAACAGGGCCAGCCTAGGCCAGCCCAGACCAGCACTCATAAAACTAGATGAAGCAAACTTTATCTTCCCTTGGGCCTCATTTTCTTTCTCCTCTCCTCCTTACCAAAACTGGAAAATATTAGGGTGCCTGGGTGGCTCAGTCAAACGACTGACTCTTGATTTTGGCTCAGGTCATGATTTCGTCCTTTGTGAGATCAAGCCCCATGTGGGGCCTGCGCTGGCGGTGCGGAGCCTGCTCAGGAGTCTCTCTCGGTCTCTCTCTGCCCATGCCCCACGCGTGCGCACACGCACACTCTCGCGATCTCTCTAAAATAAAAAAAAAGTTAAGAGAAAAAACGGGAAAATATCACACGTACTGAAACACGCAGGAAAAAGCACAGTGTTGTCTGTATTTTTGTTGATTGGTTAACTGTTTATACTTCAGTGTGAATTCATTTGTTAAAGTGTTAAGTCAGTCAGCCATTTGTTCCTAAAGGTGGCAAGAAGTAGCTTCATCCCATTGGAAGGAAGGGCTTGGAAACAGGCAGCAAGCATTGGGGAGACTCTGAAACATGGCTATGCCTGCAGGGCTCAGGCCTAAAGTAAACTTTTTGGTAGCATGAAGGCTCCTGGCATTCTTGAATATAAGATCTTTATAACATAACTATTTCATGGCTCTCTACCTAGTAATCATCTACAGCGGAAATACGCAAAGACAAAAAGGGTTTTACAATAACACTTCCACTTGAAAAGTAGAACACAGGACACGTATGGGAGACACACTATGTATTTAGTCTACAAGCAATTCTCAGGTGTACACTTAGCACCACGGCCCCACAGTCTCATAAAGGCCTGTGCTAGCAGAAGGAATACTAAATTTAGACTCAGGATCAGTGTTCCAGTTCTGCTCTTTCCAATTCTTCCATTCGCTAGGTGTGACCTGGGCTACTGCACTAACTATCCAGAACTTCGTGGCCTCTTGTTTCCAGGCTGAGAGAAGTAATGGGTTTTTTGTCTGCCTTGCTTGTTTTGTTGTGTCCGTGTGGGTGGAGGGAAGAAAGAAGAGCCGCTGAAGATGCAGTTTAGGTTGGAAGAAAACGACGAACAGCTAAGCATCACACAGCAGAGGGGAGGTACACAAACCCAGGCTGTGGGGAATCAGGTCCAGGACCGCGACTAGGAGAGCCAGAGAGCAAACTCAGCAACATGTTTTGAGAGGACAGTGCAGGCATGATTGTATCTATTCCAAAGAGGTAGCAGAGCAGAAGTGGGAAAAATGTTAAAATCCAGTTTGACTGGATACAAAAATATTTAAATAACTATAGACTTATTCGTATTCATTTCATATTATTTTGGTGACATGATGGTGCCTTACACTATGATTGGATACGTCTTAGGCGTGTGCCCATTTAATCCGTGTTCATCTCAGACGTCGGATCCTCTGTGTTCAGCTTAATTACTTGAAACTTGAATGAATTAAAAGGCAGAATATTCAGACAATATTTGCTTGGTAGATGAACAAGGAAGGAACTATCTAAAAGCTGAATCTTACAGTCACATACCAACTCTTCCCATCAGCTGTTTTCCCTGGTGTACACTGTCTGTTACAGGCTCCCTGTGAGCACGTTCTCCAAGGAGTCACTTGACTCTTTGAGTAGGTCTCTACCACTTTACTCCCTACTCCTTAAGAACCAGGCCTTAAAAGTTGCCATCATTGACTGAGACAACTGTAGAATCAGAAGACCCAAATCAACCCCCACATTAGTAATTGTCCCAGACACTGGAGGCTCAGCCCTATTTTTAAAGATGTTGGGGGGTGCCCAGGTGGTTCAGTCAGTTAAGCAACCAGATTTTGACTGGCTCAGGTCATGATCTCACAATTTGTGGGTTCAAGCCCCACATCGGGCTCTGTGCTGACAGCTCAGAGCCTGTTCGGGATTCTCTCTCCCTCCCTCTCTCTCTGCCCCTCCCCTGCTCATGTGCTCTGTGTCTCTCTCAAAATAAGTAAACTTTTTTAAAAAATTATTAAAAATGTCGAGAAATTATGTGTCTTTGTTCAGTGCAGCACGTTCCCAGCTCTCACCATCAACAACTCTCACTAGCAGGAACTGTGTTTTTGCACACAGCAAAGCCTTCAAATACCACAATTAATTGGAATTCCATCAATTAGTAGATCTTCTGATTGATAAATTCCAGAATTCTTCTGTAAATGTCTCTCCTAGTTGCTAAGAAGAAGCCCATTTAGGCCAGGTAGACAGTAAAGATTAAGGGGTAGGGTCATTAAGAGGTAGGGTCACCCTGTCTCATTCCAGACTGAAGGTGAGCCCAGCCTGAAGGCTTCTTCCCTTTCCTTTGGAGGAACGCAGAACATTAGCTGGATACTCAGCCCCCGTCCCTTAATCAGTCTCATCCAAAACAGACTGGACTTGCTGTCAGATTTCCCAGAGCCATGCTCCATTACCATCCGCTTGTTTCTCTCCAGTTCCACAGTGGTAAGGCCAGATTCGAGGACTATTGGATTGTTTTAATGGAAATATCATCTGTGCCAATCAGGACCCCGCGGGCCCGCAAGCTGGGGCCTCCGCCTCAGGCTCCCTTTCAAATATGAAATCTCTGCATTTTCTTCTCTTCTCGTCCTCCCCAGGAACAGCACCCAGTTGGACTTCCCCGGACCACAGGCCCCATGCAGTCCTCCGTGCCCCCAGGCTCTGGCGGCATGGTCTCCGGAGCCAGTCCCGCGGGACCAGGTTTCCTGGGCGGCCAGCCCCAGGCGGCCATCATGAAACAGATGCTCATTGACCAGCGGGCTCAGCTGATGGAGCAGCAGAAGCAACAGTTCCTGCGGGAGCAAAGGCAGCAGCAGCAGCAGCAGCAGCAGCAGCAACAGATTCTAGCGGAGCAGGTAACATGATTCATTCATTCAGCAAGCATTTATTCAGGGCCTGGTGTCTGCGAGAGACTTCCAGTTGGTGTCCTTTGTCAAGAGATTCATGGTCTAGCATTTCCTGGGATCACAGAAGAATCTGCAGAATTTTGACCTTTCAATTAGTTCGACTTTTTCTTAGAATGAATTAGTTTGTTCTTAAAAGACAGGCTTCCGCCCTCCATTTGAAGGCCCGTTTGCCAGAGACATTTCTTCGATTCAAGCCTGCCTTCTTTTCTTCTGGTTTCTGGCACGGGGGGTCTGCGCAATCAGCATGGGGGTTGGGAGGCTGCCTCACATTCTCTATACACAGTAATATTTCCAGCCTGAAGAAGAAAAGGAAATAACTCAGAGAACTTTGTTTCTTGAAGGAAAATGTCAGGAGGAGGGATTGAGGAGAATTCTACAGAATTGGTCATGAACAATGGGACAGGAACAATGGCAGAATAATAGGGCCCATGGAACTACCTGGAAACCTGAACCCGGGGTCACAGAAAGGGTGCAAACTTAAGAAAATTCCCAACAGCTTTAAAACAGCTCAAGAAATCTTTGAGTTAAAGGAAGGCCTGACACAAATAAATCTTACCGTAGTCATCTTTGTCCACCCTTACCATATAATTCCTCCAGCTTCCAAAGAAAGCCTTCCCCGAGACCTGCTTCTGTAGTTTCAGTGTGCTTTGTTTTTCAAGATGCCCGTGCCTGATCCAGTATTATTATCCCAGCAAAGGCCTGAGGCCTTCCACAAGGGATCCCTACATGGCTCCTGTGGGAGTCTACACAGGGCCTCTCTCTTCTTATAGGAGGTAGGCGTGAGGTTGTCTTCCCAAGCTTAAAGCCCAACAGAGCTCTGCCCCACTGTTACCCTTCTAGAATGTTCCTAATACAATCAGAATTTTGGAAATGTATCAAGCCTCTTTCACCCCGTATTTACAAGCCACCACGTGGGATGCAGACCTGTTGAGGTCCCTACTAAGAGCAGCAGTTCAGAGTAACACCAGCCATCTCCCAAATAGAAAAATTGTACTGTTGAACACAGTTCACTTACGTTCCCTTCTTTGCTTTTGTTCCCGAGCAGCTGTGTAATTATCTCCCTTTTTACCAAGGTCAGTCAGCCGCCTGGCAGCTCTTGTACAAACAAACCTCTATCCCTCTCGCCCTGCATAAGGTGTGTGACAAGGATCCGTGCTAATATCTCTCAGGCAGTGATGAATGGAGCTGCCAAGGGGAAGCTGGGCTTTGTAAATCCTCTCCTCAGCCAATCCCGGGAAGCTTCAGGTGCGCCTGGTACTATGAGCAATGGCCTTTGATGTGTGTGCTGTGACCATGGCGCAAATAGGAGATGGGGTAACCAGGCAAATGCAGCTGTGCTAGCCAGGGCTGCCCCCACTCAGCAAGGGCAGCCAAACCCCAAGGAACAAGGAGGGAAGCAGAAGAGTAGAAGGAGATGCCCAGGCACAGAGCCAAGACACAGAGATACAGGGCCCCCTGGAAAAGATGGAGAAATGGGTATCATTCCTTAGCAAGCTGTGGACACCAAGAAACAAAGAGGGACCAGCAAAGGAATTTTACTCAGACTCCAAATGTGTGCCACCATTTGCTTGTGGTCTGAGTCTAAAAATGTCTTCCCCCTCTCTCTTCATCTGCCAGGTCAGGTTTAATACATGCCCAGCCTTCCTCCTATACTGTTTTAAGGATCACATAGAATTATATGTGTAAAATTCTTTGGAAACTGTACACGTGTATGTGGGGACCTGTCACATGGCCCTGGTGTCATGGAATGTGATGTCAGAGCTGCAGCCACAGCTGCCAGCCATCCGGTGGCTGAGGGCCTGCACAGAAACAGCTCAGTGCAACGGCCTGCCTGTGCCCGGATACGGACAGAGCTCGTCCATACAGGCTGTCTGGGGGTCTACCCGTGGTGGGCTGTCAGCTTTTGTGTTTGGAGAACGAATATTGCCCTATCAATGCCGAACTGATGTTCTTGGTCTCTGCAGCAGCAGTGAAAGTGCCTAATAATTGCAGTTTTGAAAGTAGCATATTAGAGGTCCTGGAATTTCCTGAAAGGACATGGGAGAGAAAACAGAAGGATTGGGGGACCTTGCCTGACTTTGAGAGCTTTAAAATGATTCCAGTGGCTTTAGAAATCAGCACAGAGCAGGCTGAAAGCAGGTGTGAATTGACATTTAACG